TCCTGGCTCTGCTTTATCAACTATCACCATGTTGACATTCCCAAAATCAAATTATAAAAGGAAAGAAAAGTTCATTGAAATTAAAACACCAAATGTCTTCCCAGGCATATAAATATCATAAAATTAGCATTGATTAAGCGTTCACACGTAAAACAAACAACAAATTGAGGCTAATTCCAGTAATACTATCAGTAAAACTCAAGCATTTCCATCAATGGTAGCATAAAGCTATGGAATATGAAGACTATCATAAAACGTTGAAGCTAAATTTTACCATTCCTGGCGAGAACTTGAAGCGCTTAAAAGATTTGGATTTTGAAATCTCCGGCGAGGCCTCATCTTCCATATTTTCCTCCTCACCAACAACTCCGACTGCCCTCAAATTCTCTGGAGGCGTATTCTGCGACATACCGTTGTTACTACATGACAGCAAATTCGACCGAATCTCATGACTTCCCGAAGCTAAAACCGCATTACCCGTCTCAATCTGTGCAGGGTTTTGGATCTCAGGAACCGATTGTGCCGGAGCAACGGTGTAAGAGGCGGGAGCTGCGAGGGGTTTAGGGTTCTGCTGAGAAGCAGAAACTGCGGCGATTTTGGGGTTCTGAGAGTTCTGGGTGTGGCGCTCGAAGAAATGCTGGATGCCGAACTTGGACGGCTGAGGCTGAACTTTCGAGTTGGATTTCTTAGCAGACGTCGTGGAAGAAGAAAGGGGTTTCTTTCTTGGAGGCATTAGAGTAATGGTGTGGTTGCTTCCAGTTTCTGGTCTGCTGGTTCAAATTGAGGGAGAGAGAGAGAGATTGGAATTTGGGGGTTTCGGTGCTTATAAGCTGATTTGCGATTTTCCCGCTCAAATGAAGCGTACGGCTCCAAAAGGAAAAATATAAAATGGGTGGAGTTAGGGCTCGTCAATGGGCCGGGCCGGGCTAGCCCGGCCCAAATTTAACGGGCTTGGGCCGGGCCGGGCCGAGCTTTAAAGAGGAGAGAGAAAATATCGGGCCGGGCCGGGTCGGGTTTTTTTAGAAAATTCAAAGCCCAAGCCCGACCTATAGGTCGGGCTTGAGAAAGCCCATTGGGGCGGGCCGGG